ATCTACCTAAAGGAAAAAAAGACTTCCATAATACAGCCATCTGCACTCGAATGTTTATAGCAGCACAATTCACAATTGCAAAGATATGGAAACAATCCAAGTGCCCATCAAAACATGAGTGGATTAACAAAATATGGTATATGTATACCATGGAAATCTACTCAACTACAAAAATCAATGGTGAACTAGCACCTCTTATACTATCCTGGATAGATCTTGAGCCCAGCCTTCAAAGTGAGGTATCACAAGAATAGAAAAACAAGCACTGCGTGTACTTGCCATCAAATTGGTACTGCCTGATCAACACTAAAGTGCTCACATGGTGTAATATTCACTGAGTGCTGGTCAGGTGGGTGGGGTGGAGGTGGGTAAACTCACAGCTAACGGACGTGGAGTGCACTGTATGGGGGAAAGACACACTTGTAGTCCTGGCTTGGGCGAGGCAAAGGCATTATATGTAATGTAACCAAAATGTTTGTACTCCATAATATTCTGAAATAAATAAATAAATAAATGATAAAAAGGTGCAGTGACGCATAAAAAAAGAAAGTAGAAAAAGTACAATAAAGTGGAATACCTTAAATGCAGTGAAAGCTTACTACTTTATAGAAGTGTTTTATTCCTTTGTAGTTACTGAATATTTCTTTCCATAACATTTTTTTAAATTTTTTAAATTATCTCATATTATGTGGGTACAAATATTGTTAGGGTTACATATCTTGCCCCTGCCCCCCGGCCCCACCCCGCTATGCCAGAGCTTCAAGGGTGCCCAGCCTCCAGGTGGTGCGCACTGCACCCACCATTTCCATAACGTTTCTAATAGAACTTTTCAACTTTTCCGACTGTCATTACTCCTGATTTTTCACTATTGCTTCACAATATGAGATAGAATTTCCATTGTAAAGATGAGAAAATTAATGTTCAAAATATTTAGTGACTTGCCCAAAGTCATAGAACCACAGAATAGCAAAGCTAGGACTCGAGTCTTTAACCTCAAGACTATTGCTACCTCACACCTGCAGAGGAGGGAATGGGATCATCTACCCTCTCTTGCTCAGGCTGGTTTCGAACTCCTGACTTTGAGCAATCCTTCTGCCTCGGCCTCCCAGAGTGCTAGGATTACAGGCGTGAGCCACCGTGCCTGGCCGAGTCTTTTAAATTTTAATCAGTGCATTTTGCACTCTCTCCAAATCTCCTATAATTTAGGGTGAAATCCAGGAAGGAATAAAAATAGCAATATAATTTTTATTTCTATATTGTTATATTTTTAAAGTGTTTACACATGGGGGGAGGGAGTTAACAGGAGAGAAAAGAAGGGCAATGCATCCACATAGATTCTCTGCTATGTGGTGGGTCTTAGGGGACTTTAGACTGGATTGGGACCCTTCTTCTAGCCCCAGTGAGATCCTCTCAGGTGGGCTGGTTTCTAAGTTTTTGGGCTCCCTGTAAGGATTTTGAGACCTTTTAAGGAAGTAGGTCTTGGCAATAATTATGAGTACCTAGAGAGGCAGCCTTGATTCAGGGGAATGGTTAATAAGTGATGGTTCTTATTCATTCATAAGAAGGATGTTTAGAATCAGCATTCAGGACAGGAAACATCCAGCTTTTCATAGTATAATCATGTGGGGTGCTGTCTGCTTTCTCAAGATTTTGAGTTTGTTTTCCCAAGATATCTTGTAGGACTGTAAATTCCATGGCACTAGAGACCAACCTCTTCTTTCTCTCTCTTATTCATAGCTTTAGCTCTAGTGCTCAGCTCAGTATCTGACACATGGTAGGAGCTCAGGTAAATGAAGAAACACCTGGCTAGCCCTAGGATAATTTCTTCTGCTTGGCTTAAACTTGGGAATGGCATCACTTCCTTTCTAGACTCAGAATTTCCCATGCCCAGGGATTGGTTTTGACACCCTCAATTTTGACACTGGTTTTTCCCTAGATAGTTACAATATGACTTTTTTCTTTTCCCTTTTTTCTTTTTTCTTTTCCACATAGGATTTGCAGTTGCCTGATGCTTCTGCCAATTATTGTAATTGCAGCCCAAGTACTGTCATATTCTGTTCCATGAAGTGTTCTTGGTCTCTCTTTTTATTTTCGTGTGTGTGGGGTGGTGAGAGGGTGAGGGGTATCATGGGGTGGGGGGAAGAAAGCAGGATAGGACATGAGAAAAGAGAAAGGTTTGGGGGAAGAAGACTGGTAAACTCAGGTTAGACTAGACCCTGAATAGTATTTCCTGGTAGACCCTTGCATCAGAAAACTGATAAGACTTCAGTCTACTTAAATTTTATTGTTTTTTTCCCCTTTTACATTTATTTCTAAAATTTGCTTTTCTCATTCTCTTTACATTGTCTGCTTTATCCTTGAGTAGGCCCTTTAGAAATCACAAAGCACTTCAGAACTGAAAAGCTGCCCTTTTTATTCTTTCTCTCTTACTTTGGAAAATTCTTCTATATTGTTGTATAAGCCATCATGACTATTGCTGGGGGGATTTTCTTACTGCTTTTCTTTCTTTTGTGTTTAGAGACAGGGTCTTGCTCTGTCACCCAGGCTGAAGTGCAGTGGTGCAATTATAGCTCACTGCAACCACCAACTCCTGTGCTAAAGTGATTCTCCTGCCTCAGCCTGCTATTCTTACTCTTTTTCTTTAAAAAATAGCCCTGGAGAGGCAGAAACTGTGAAATGAAAACATGCCTAAAACCACTGCTCTCATGGCAACAGACACACTTAGGGCAAGGAATAAGCACTCTAGACATTGTAGAAGATCAAGGAACCCAGAAGTGAAAAAATTGATAAGGTACTTACCACTGGGTCCAGTATATCGTACTAAAAATAAAAACAAACAAATTATTGTGGCTGTTGAATTAAAAAAAAATACTTATACCATTGATGTTTTCTAAAGATGAGCAGATTTTCTTAGGAATAACTAAATCTGCTATTCAGAATTAAACATTTCTTATTGCACTGCTAAGAAATAGATCTACAACCATGTTTTAGTTAGAAGGATAGCCACTTCATTCTTGCTTTTCATTATAGGTGTTGGAGGTGAAATTCTCAATTGCATTACTTTTTTCACCTTCCCCTATCCTTTCTTCCTTATATCGTTCTTATTTCACTTTTTTTGGTCATCTTTCTTTCGTGTTCTTGCTCATTTCTTATGTCCTTCTCCAGACCTCTCTCTTACATCTTTAGTATGAAAAGCTCTTCTAATGATTATTGACAAACTGCTATAATCATTATTAGAAAAGTGTCTGCCTATTATAACTTTAAGGTAATGGAATTTCCATAAAATACGATTGGCTGTCCAAAGACATGGTTAGGATAGGGAAATGAAAGCCTGAGAAACGTGATTTTTCACGTTTCTTTTTTTTTTTTTTTTTTGAGACAGGGTCTTGCTGTCACCCTGACTCGAGTGCAGTGGTGTCACCAAGTTTGCTGTAACCTCAGACTCTTAGGCTCAAGCTATCCTCCTGCCTTAGCCTCCTGAGCAGCTAGGACTACAGTCATGTGCCACCATGCCTGGCTAATTTTTCTACTTTTTATAGAGATGGGGTCTTGCTCTTGCTCAGGCTGGTCTCAAAATCCTAACCTTAAGCAATCTTCCTACTTTCCTACAATCTTCCTAGCAATCTTTCCTACAATCTTCCTAGCAATCTTCGGATTCCCAAAGTGCTAGGATTACAGGCATGAGCCACTGTGCCTGGCCATTTTTAGCTTCTTTAACTCAGAAATGTAAATAGTTGAAGCCAGACTCCTTCAGACATAGTAGGAAGCCACCAGAGGTAAGTCGATAAAGATACATAAAGACAACTTACTGATAGGTCCTGAGGTTTGCACTAAAAATAAATTCAAATTGGCATATTAGTATGGTTATTTGATTGAAGAACATCTTTTTCATTAATTTTATTCTAGAGATGAAGCTTTGAGGGATAGAGTAGGGGAAAGGAAGTGATATCAGTTATGAGATCATTAAGGAGAACTAATCCAACTATGTTAACTGTAGAGCAAAAGGGATATTTAGCATTTACTGTAATATTTCAGCCTGAAATTTAGGTTTCTGTAGGATCTTTTTTTTTTTTTTTTCCTGTAGGATCTTTATCAACCTAAGAGATACTGGGGAAAGGTGAAACTTTGTTATCAGGTATTGATTTTAGGTATCAATATTATTGATATTAGGGAAAGGTGAAACTCTTATCAGTAAAAATAGAAGATACTGCTTTCTCAAGGGGATACTCTTGGACTAAAATCGTTATTTCTGACCAACTAATATGTTTCAGGGGTAGGCATTAGGATAGGAGGTAATGATCTGGTTCCCTCTTCTCACAACTTCCTGCTTATTGGGAACTGAGAGAGTGGTGACTGTTGCTTTGACTAGCTTTAGTGTCTGTGAGCAAAGGGTCGACAAAACCTTCCGTTTTTAATGAGAAAGCAGCCTTCAGCTGATTTTCCAGCTCTTATCTCCTGGTACCTGATAAGATTGAAAGCCTGTTATGTTACTTGGCATCATTACTTACATAAGAATGATCCTTGATTAGTGTGAACTGGGAGAACTATGAATAGTCAAGAAGCCATAGCTTTGGGCTTCCCTGAGCATAGTGACCCATGTATTTGGGCATATTCCTAGGCTTAGGGGATCCCGGCAGGTAATGTGAATGGGGTTCTTCTAGGAAATTTTAGCTCCTGGGGAACATGTGTGGCTTCTAAGCCAGGGAAGCTCCCACATTCAACTGATTAGAGGCCAAAGACAGTAGTTCCTAGGTGGCTGTGTGGATCCCTGCGCAGATCACTGTGAGGGTTACTCCTACAGAAGAGGGACAGTTGGTGCGGCCCTGCTGGCAAGCTGCGCTTCCTGCCTTAGGTCTTACTGAGTAGACTGGCGCCAGATGAGGGCTATGATATGTTGTGAGTCTGCATGCTTAGGTGAGTCTAAAGAGACAACCACCCAGTGGGCATTGCAGGATCTTTCTTTTCCATACTTGATTGGCACTCATGATGAGAAGTATCCCAGTTTGGACCCATAAGCCCTAAACCCTTAACTCTCAATTGTTTTCTATGTAAAACAGCTAGAAGGTATTTTTCCAGATCTGATATCCTGGGCTATGAGCTTCAAACAAGCTAGAAATTTAGGTATTTCTAAAGTAATTTAATAGTTGCTTTGACCATAACTATAAATATGTGCCTTTGATTCTAAGTAGAACTCTTAGGACATCTCCCCTCTTGACATAAGTTGCTAAATCTTTGGATAGGTGATCACTTCAAATTTTCTTTTGTTTCTTCAGTTTTCCTATCTTTTATTCCCCCCTTCCCATTCTTAGTTTCTAACTTCTTGTACCCTTCCTTTACTCCCCTTTCTCAGCTTTATTTATATATATTTACTCTTCTCTTTTCTCCTATGTGCCAATTCACTTAATCTTTCTCCTTTCAATTTTCTTCCCACTTTTGTTCTTTTAAAATTTCTTCCATTTATCTCTCTTTAACCGGCATCTTCATTCTCTTTTACTCCGCATGTTGCTCTTTCTCTCATTGTCTTTCCCCACTCCCACTGCCCTTTTTTACACTTTAATCTCAAATGAGAAGTTCATTTTATTCATTGTTAGTAGCCTATTATAGCACCTAAAAATGGTGGTGGAAAGAACTAAGCATCTTTAAAACTTCATTCCTAATTTTTTCTACTTTCTCCTTTTTTCTTTTCTTATTTTTGGAGAAATGACTCCTAGCCGTCAGTTTCTTTATCTCTAAGTATGGATATTGATACCTGCCTTACCTACTGCCATTGGAATGTTGTATAGATCTAACAGAATTATGCACATGAGTATTAGAAAACATTGTTAAGATATAATAGGAATAGCTCAGTGTGACTAGGTATAAATATAGGACTCATTCTGTCACGGGGTTATAGAGGAAACTCAAATCATATTTACTTAGTTTTATAATTTAAAAAAATTCTTAGTTTTTGTTAGTAATATCATAATTCAGCATGTGAAACAAACTATTTGTACATGGATGGATCTCAGCTTATAAACATGTAATTATGAGCAGTGTGTCTTAGAACCCAACCACTATGTATAATGTTTCTGTGGAAAAATATAATAGGGCAAGATACTAAAAGTTGGTGAATATGGAGCCTAACTGTTCTGGAAAGAACTTTCAGAGCAATTAAAATGAAAGGAAACTTAAAATTTACATTGTTTTACAAAGTGAAGGTAATCTAATAATGGAAAAAGAAGGTCTTTATATTGACTCTAAAAAGCTAGATTATATACTTAATGGAAACAACTCAGGAAGGAACATCTCTAGGGGTATTTTTTCACGTTGCATTTCAGCTTCACAGTTAATATCTTTTTATTGCAGAACCTGGGTGAATCCAACCTAGATGAGTTCTGGGTGGGGTTATGAGATGGTGGAAGCACTTGATCCTTGGGTCTTTGGACATAAATCATTGAAACAAGAAATAGATTGGCGTTCTGAGTTTTGTAAATGACCAAAAAACATTACAATTGAGATTCAGATGACTTACCAATGGTTTTCTGAGAGAGCTCTAAACATACAAACAAACAAACAAGAAATAAAAGGAATCAGTGGATGCTTTCAGGCTCAGGATACCTTATTGCTCATTTATATACTTTCCCTACTAAGAATCGGCATCACTAAGCTCAAGATCAGCTGCAGCTGGGTAGTAGAAATGTTGACTGCTTAGCAGGGATGCTATGGCAAGCTAATGCATATTAAAGGCCTCTCCATTTAATGGATCCGTAAGATGGTAAATAGCAAAGATACTAAGTAGAGGTCACCCTTTGGTGAATTTAAACTCCTCTAGAGGATTAGAAAAATCCTTATCCATTATTTCACATCTTGTCATCTCACTCTGTTTTTTTTTTTTTTTAATAAAAGACCTGGTTCTTTATATTGCTCAGGCTGGTCTCAAACTACGGCCTCAAGCGAGCCTCCTGCCTCAGCCTCCCAGATGGCTGGGATTACAAGTGTGAGCCACCACACCTGGCTCACTCTATTTTCATATTTTTTCACATCACAGAAGTCCTCTGTGTGTGCCAATAAGCCACTGGAAAACTTAGCAAGGGTTTGTCCTCTGCTTTGTAGTTTGTGTTTATCAGTGAAATGTACATTCCCAGAATCACTCATGACTTATTAAAGTGTTCAGTAGAAGAAAACCAAAACACCAAGAAAATATGAACTCCGAGACCTTGAAATCCCAACATGGAAACCAGGTAAATATCCTTAAGATATTGCAGGAAATTAAAGTGCTCCATAGTAGAGAATCAGAAGGCAAACTTACTGATAGATCCTGTTGCTCCAGCTAAGAAACAGAGAGAGAGAAAGGGAGAACGAGAAAAATATGAGTATGTTTCACTACTGTGAAGGAAATACTTGTTTCTCAACACTCATCCAGAGGGAGTATCTTAAATAGAAGCCCTTGGGAAGATCAGGGGTTGATTGTACGGCAAGCCCCGCCGGGCAGGCTCCCCGACGCACAACACAGGAGCCCTGCAGGAATGGAGGCCTCTGCTGTTCCCAGTGATGGCGGAAGCCCTTCCGAGGACTGGGAGAGACTCATTCCATATTAATTGGTTATGCCTCTATTTTACTTCCTACATTTTTCTCCCCTACATACCATCATTTTCTTAGAGATTTATGGTTTATTTGTAAGTGTTTCTTCCCTGGCTAATGGGTCATTATGACTGTCACCAAGAGGGCTCTTTTCTTTTTGTTTTGTATTGTTCATTTTAATCTCTGGAATTTGCTAATACTTCATGCACGGTCTCATTGGAAACTGTGTAATAGGATTGCTAGGGGAGCTGAGGAACATAGTGTCAAGAAAGCAGGGCAGATGAGGCCCCAAGTCCTTGTAGGCCAGATATGAAATGGAGCAGAGCAGAGAAACAAACTTGATACTTACGGGTAGGTGTGAATTGCACTGAAATAGAAAAAGAAAGAAAATAAGTATGGTTTGTCATTAACAGAATTTTCATGCTACCGGTATTCTTTCTAAAGAAACTATGTAGGAACTCAACCAGAAGGAGAGAACTACTGTGGGACTGAAAATAATTTTAGCATGGAAACCCCATAACCCACCTACCAGATCAAGTCATTCAATGTCCATCTTAAATGAGAACTTTAAGTAATTTAAAATAAGCCTTGTAGTATAGTTTGAAGTCTGGTAAATTGATACCTCCCATTTTGTTTTTATTGCCTAGGATTGCTTTTGCTATATGGGGTCTTCTCTGGTTCCATACAAAGCATAAAATTATTTTTTCTATATATATGAAAAATGATGATGGTATTTTGATAGGGATTGCATTGACTCTGCAGGTCACTTTGGGTAGTATAGACATTTTAACAATGTTGATTCTGCCGACCCACGAGCATGATATGGTCTTCAACCTGTTTACATTCTCTGCTATTTCCTTCTTCAGTGTTTCATAGTTCTCCCTGTAGAGGTCTTCTACCTCCTTAGTTAAATATATTCCTAGGTACTTTATTTTCTTTGTTGTTATTTTGAAGGGAATTGAGTCTTTGATTTGGTTCTCACTTTGACTTTTGCTGGTGTATATGAATGCCTCTGATTTGTGTGCATTGATTTTGTATCCTGAGACTTTACTGAATTCATATAAATAATAAAAATAAAAAATAAAATTTAAAATATGAATTATTTTTCATAATAATTTTATGAAGCTCTTTTTCTAAACTCAGTGAAAATTTAGGGCGCTGTGTCTGATGGCTGGGGCATCAGGAGTTGTCGGGAGATTTAAGTACAATCAAGAAACATGAGAGAGAAACCCTGCACGGGAGAAATGGCAACAGGTAGGGTGTGGAGAGGTTCCCTTTTCCATAGAAGGCCAAAGAGAGTTAGAATTAGGAAACAAAAAAGGAACTCACTTATAGGTCCAATAGTTCCACCTAAATTATGGAAAAAAACAAAACAGAATTAACGAGGATGGTTCTTTGGCATTGAAAAATGCAGTTTGCATAGAAATTCTTTCTGGGAAAACATCAGAAATGTAGACACCAGGGGCAAATTTTCCATTTCCATGGAGGAACTAATACAGTTTACAAAGGTTTCTTTCTCACCTTGGAGGACCCCAGTTACTGCTGGGATCTGACAGCTGGACCCTTAGGGATGCAGTAGTCAGGGTTCCTTCCCCTTTCTCAGTGGGTGTCCTGTTTGTAGCCCAGAAGATTACACAGGCCATTGCCTTTCTTCCAGCTAGGCTAATCTGAACTTTTTAAAGCTAGAATCTATAGCCTCATCTTCTGAAGAGGTAGTAGTGATTCCTGTGTGTATGGTGTCTATTTGTCTCTTATTCAACAGAGTAACTTGACCTGCTATATCTTAGTGTAAGAGGGAATAGAAACTGCTAGATACACTTAAGACATTCATAGGTATGGTTAGAGGTTAAAGGAATTGAGACACTAGACACACATACGTGGCAATAATGGTCTTCTCCTTCTTTACACACACACACATATGCATGTATACTCACCACACCTCTCTACACCTTGTAGGCTATGTGTGCTTTTGTGGTACCTCCTCAGGGTTTGCTCATGAAGTTTGACTTTTGATCATTATTATTTTTTTAGAGATAGAGTCTTGCTGTGTCATTCAGGCTGGAGTGCAGTGGTCATAGTTCACTGTAACCTTGAACTCCTGTGCTCAAGCGATCCTTCTGCCTTAGTTGCCTGAGTAGCTAGCCAGAAAGTATGTGCCACCACACCTGGCTAACTTTTAAAGTTTCGTAGAGATGGGATCTTGCTGTATTGCCCAGGCTGGTCTCAAACTCTTGACCTCATGCAATCATCTTGCCTCAGCCTCCCAAATTGCTGGGATTACAGATGTGAACCAGTATACCTGGCCTGACTTTTGGTTATTGTAATTATGTTTCATAGATACAAATACTTTAAGAGGAATAGAGACAGGGTGTGATAAGCCATGAGCCCTAATCCTCAAATCATTCCTTTTCCTCTTTCTTTCAGAGTTAGCCCTGCCCCTGGAGCTCAAGCTCTGAATACCCTCAGAAATGATGGACGGAAATGTGTCAAAAAATGAATTAAACCTTGGTGAGTTTCATCTTTCTTGTCTTTTGCTTTAAGGCTACTCATGGTGTGGAGAATCTGTAGTCATGGAAAAGCTGTGGAGCAATGGTTCCTAAACTTCAGTGTGCACACAATCAGTGGGGATCTCATTAAATGCAAAGTCTGATTCAGTAGATGGGGGAGGGGGGCGGGGGCGAGGGTGTTAGGCTGACAGCCTGCATATCTGACAATCCCAGGGGCGCCAGTGCAGGTCCCTGGGCACACTTTAGGCGGCAAGGCCATAAAAATCTAGGGGAATCTCAGCTCACTTAAATGTTGCTGTTTCTATTTACCATTTTTGCTTTCTGTATCAGCTGCCTCTCACCCCTGTATTCCCTCCCAGTGCTTCTGCCACAGCGTATGCTGTAGTGCCATTAAAAACTGTCAGGATGATTCTTCTGGACTTATTCTTTGTTCATATCCAGACACATACATCCCACACAATCATCAATGACAGCTTGGGGACTCTCCGTCAGTGAGCTGGACTCCCGGCTTGTCACAAAACTCTCTTGGTGGATCTTGAATAGAATGGCCACCATCACGCTCCTTATTCTGAGTGTTGCTGGGATTTCTAGCAGGGGAAGCTGCCTACCTTTCACTCGACCATTTTTGTTCTTAAAATTTTCCTTTGCTGTTGATCTCAGATTTTGAAAAAATTAAAAGTAACAATACTTTTTACAGAGGCACACCAGCTTATTAATATAAGAATAGGAACAAATTAGAAAGAATTGACAATTTGTGAAGGAATAAAACATCAAGAGAAGATAAGGGAATTCCCAGTAAACGAAACAAACAGACACCCGAACATCCAGCAATGTAAGTGTTTTACATATTCTAATAGTATGGTAAGCAAAGCACATGAAAATTAAAAGATAAAGAATTACTGATGGGTCCTGGAGTGCAGCTAAAATACAAACAAAAAAGTGAGTGTGGAGAGAGCATGATGCAAGGGTGTTTGTTTCAGGGAGTTTCAGATCAAGCATTTACTGTGTATCACATTTACATGGAAAGGCAGCAGGAGGGTAAACCTACATCTTCTTTTTCCCATAGCAGACTGTTACAATCACACTCTTGCAATTATTTTTCTTATTCTTAATTTTCACTATCTTCCTGCTGTCAATCCTTCTAAATTTTAGATAAACAACTCCGCACAGCCCTAGGATTTTTTTTCACCTTTCATTAATTAATTCATTAGCAGAAATTTCACTTTGCTAATAAAAAAAAAAAAAACACTTACTTAGGGCATCTTGAAATCAACCTCGAATTCCTCACACTGGTAAAGGAAAGGGAGAACTTCCACAGGTGCCTTCTCCACACCAGCCTCCCCATCCCCCAACAGTAGGCACTTTATAGAAGATCAAAATCATTACACATTGTGTGCATGTACAAAATATCACATGTACCTTGAGGTTCTGAGTGGTTTTTTCAAACATTTTATACTACCTGTAATAAAATTGACAAAATAATCTCACTTAGATTTAGACTTTCAGAAGACATGGAGGGTAGACGATCCCATTCCCTCCTCTGCAGGTGTGAGGTAGCAATAGTCTTGAGGTTAAAGACTCGAGTCCTAGCTTTGCTATTCTGTGGTTCTATGACTTTGGGCAAGTCACTAAATATTTTGAACATTAATTTTTCTCATCTTTACAATGGAAATTTCTATCTCATATTGTGAAGCAATAGTGAAAACTCAGGAGTAATGACAGTCGGAAAAGTTGAAAAGTTCTATTAGAAACGTTATGGAAATGGTGGGTGCAGTGCGCACCACCTGGAGGCTGGGCACGCTGAAGCTCTGGCATAGCGGGTGGGGCGGGGGCAGGGGAAGATATGTAACCTAACATATTTGTACCACACAATATGAGATAATTTAAAAATTTAAAAAATGTATGGAAAGAATATTCAGTAACTACAAAGGAATAACACTTCTATAAGTAGTAAGCTTTCACTGCATTTAAGGTATTCCACTTTATTGTACTTTTCTACTTTCTTTATTTTATGCGCACTGCACCTTTATCATATTATTTATTTATTCAGAATATTATGGGTCCAACATTTTAGTTACATATAATGCCTTGCCTCGCCAAGCCAGGATACAAGTGTTGTCTTTCCCCCATACAGTGCACTCCACGTCCGTTAGTTGTGAGTTTACCCACCTCCACCCCACCCACCTGACCAGCACTCAGTGAATATTACCACCATGTGAGCACTTTAGTGTTGATCAGGCAGTACCAATTTGATGGCAAGTACACGCAGTGCTTGTTTTTCTATTCTTGTGATACCTCACTTTGAAGGCTGGGCTCAAGATCTATCCAGGATAGTATAAGAGGTGCTAGTTCACCATTGATTTTTGTAGTTGAGTAGATTTCCATGGTATACATATACCATATTTTGTTAATCCACTCATGTTTTGATGGGCACTTGGATTGTTTCCATATCTTTGCAATTGTGAATTGTGCTGCTATAAACATTCGAGTGCAGATGGCTGTATTATGGAACGTCTTTTTTTCCTTTAGGTAGATGCCTAGTAGTGGAATTGCTGGATCAAATGGTATTTCTATTTTTAGTTCTTTGAGGTATCTCCAAATTACTTTCCACAAGGGTTGTACTAATTTGCAGTCCCACCAGGAGTGTAAGAGTGTTCCAATATCTCTACATCGATGTCAGCATTTGTTGTTTTGGGACTTTTTGATAAGGGCCATTTTCACTGGAATTAGGTGGTATCTCATTGTAGTTTTGATTTGCATTTTCTTAATGATTAGAGATGTTGAGCACTTTTTTATATGTTCACTGGCCATTATTTTGTTTTCTTTTGAAAAGTTTCTGCTCATGTCTTTTGCCCATTTATTGATGGCGTTGTTTGATATTTTTCTTGTGAATTTTCTTATGTTCTATATAGATTCTTGTTATCAGCCCTTTATCAGATGTGTAGAATGCAAATATTTTCTCCCATTCTGTAGGTTGTCTATTTGCTCTGATGATATTTTTCCTTGGCTGTGCAGAAGCTTTTTAATTTGATCAGGTCCCACTTATTTATTTTTGTTGCTTCTGTGATTGCTTTGGGGGTCTTATTCATAAATTCTTTGCCTAGGACAATGTTTATAAGGGTTTCCCCAACATTTTATTGTAGAATTCTTAAGGTTCCATGCCTTAAGAAATCTAAATATTTAGGAATATAGTTAATGAAGGGGGGAGAGACATATATAGGGAGAGCTATGAAACACTGAAAAAAGAAATTGTAAAAGATGTAAACAGATGGAAAGCCCTACCATGCTCATGGATTGGCAGAATCAATATTGTTAAAATATCCATACTACCTAAAGTAATCTACAGAATTAATGCAATCCCTAACAAAATACCATTGTCACTCTTTATAGATCTAGAAAAAATAATAAGTTTAAATCTGTTATCCATTGTGAGTTAATATTTGTGAGAGGTGAGAGGTGGGGATCCAGTTTCAATTTTCTGCATGTGGTTAGCCAGTTTTCCCAGCACCATTTATTCAATAGAGATTCTTTTCCCCAATGTATATTTTTGTCTACTTTGTCGAAGATTAGATGACAATATGAGTATGTTTTTATATCTTGTTCTTAGTCCTGTTCCAAAGGACCATATCTCTGTTCTTGTGCCAATACTATGCTGTTTTGGTTACTATAGGCTTGTGGAGACTGATGCCTTCCAATTTGTTCTTTTTGCTTAAGATTGCTTTGGCTATACGAGGTCTTCTCTGGTCCCAGATGAAGCATGAAAGGTATTTACTTATTGACTTTTGAAGTGGAGAAGCAGATTAGAAAAAATTATAAGATGGAGATATGCTGCCAAAATACTAGATACTGTGTGTTTTTGGATTAAGGACACAGTCTCTGTGGATATTCTTCCTAATGAGAACATCAGAGTTAGTTCTCTTAGAGAGTACCAAATTTTCCATACCAGACAGAAATCCTGGTTATCTCTGTGAGGGTCACAAACTAATTTACATTCAGGGGCCCAATAGGTCTCATGATTGTAAATCAGCCAGTTATAAGGGATAGTGGAGATGTTGGCCATTTGAAAAGTGCATGCCCTGTCTAGAAGAATTCAAATTGAAAATTTAAGATAATACTATACTGGAAACAAAACACCACAATAAACAAAAAAAACCCCAAAACATCTACAGATAGCACTGGGCTAGTGGTGGCTAATTTGGGAGCTCTACTTTGAAATAGGAAGAGATATATATAAACAAGCATCATACATACTTCAGCAACCAGGCAGTATGACATCAGCATCATATGGGTTGTGGCCTGAGTTGGGATAGACCATGTGAATCCCTTTCTTTTCTTTATTTTTAGGATAAGTATTGATTGGATCACATTTAATCAAAACCTGTAATTAATAGATAAACTTGTTCAGGTTATGAAGCATCTGGAAGTTGTGATAACTTTTAGAGAAAACCATGAAATATGATATATTTAATTCCATCCTTGAACAAGAAACAACTTAACTAGTAAGAGAAATGACCATATTATGCAACCAAAAACATAATATTCAATATGAAAAATTTATTGAAAGCACATAATTCAGGGGAAAAAAAACTGTCCAACCAGGATTATCTGTTCTGATTTTTCCATGATTTCCTCAGTTTTCTGCTCCTCATTCTTCTCTCAATCTTCCCTACATTTAGAAAATACATTCATTTTGTTTTGATGACCATTGAAATCAGTTTCAGGAGATTTGTTTAAACTTTGCGTTTTCAATTTTTCTGGCTTCTCTATTCATTTCTTCCAGCTTCCCTCACTTTGCTGGTCTTCTATTTGACTAGTTTTTTACCTGGCCTTTGAAATTAGTTATGTAACTGATTCAAAAACTTAATGAGAGATTAAATAACCTGCTTATGTTCGAATAATTAGTAAACAGGGAGTGGGGATCCACCTCCAATTAGCCTGGCGCCAGAGCCTGCATGCTTACGTGCTCAGCAACAGTCCTCTGCATATTAAAATGCTTTACACAGCAAGAAAACTTATTTTAAAAGTGGCTTTTGGTAGGTCTTATTATACTACTCTCAATTCATGAAGAAACAGTGCATAGTTCAGATAAGAGGTGAGCAATAACTTTTTCCCAAGTTCACAAAGTGAACAGCATAATTTCCTCCCTTGTGGGTGGGCTATAATTAGAAGGGAACATGGTCGAGGGGAGATCGGTTTGGGAGGGAGAAAATCCAACATGCTCTATACCTTAGGGAGAAGGAGTTAAAAGAAGGAAAAAAATTAAAGTTAAGGAAGAGAAAAGCGTTGACTCCTGAAGAGATAAGGTGGGATGGGAGGTTGTGGTCAAAGGCAAGAGTGGGAAAATGTGCTTAAGCAAGGAGAGCTGTCTTATTGCTTAGAGAGAGAGAGGGAGAGGGAGAAAAGCGATAAAAGTAGGCCTGGCATAGTTAAGGTGGATAATGAAAGACAGAGTGGAGAATCATGATCCTGAAGCCCTGTCACCGTGACAGCAGGAAACAGGTAAGACAGGGACTGCCTAGTGTGGAAGCCCAACAATACCAGATTTTGAAATAAGAAGAAAAACTTACTTGTGGATCCTTGAGATGAAGCTAAAGAACAATAACAAACATTCAAATCAGTCTAGAGGTGATGGTTTAAAAAATCCACCCATTTCCCAAGAAACTCCCAGAAACTGCCCTCAGGCTACACTAGGCCTCCCACTCTCCAGCAGACACAGACACTGCTGCTTCTGCAGGTGGTCTCGTATCGCCCTCTCCCCTGGACACTGCCTAGGGTTGAGAGTTTCCAGGGCAACATCCAGGCTCACTGTATTGCCAATATTCTGATTTCATTTGCCGCCTTTCCCCTGTCTTTTCCATTTCCCCCTCCCTCTTTCTTTCATCTTTTCAGTTTGGGGAGTCTTCTTTCCATAATGTGATAGCTTCAAGAACCAAAGAAAGGCAACGTTAGGAAGGTTGTAATTTTATTAAAAAAGAAAGAAAAATGAGACTGAGAGGAGGACCTGTGACTGAGTGTGCAAAACAAAATTATAGGCAGCGTTAGCCTCCAGTTTTCCGGAGTCTAAGTTTGTGCGCTTTCCTTCACACTCTTCACAATTTTCTCCTCTTTCTCTTCTTTCTGGAATATTCCTTTAAAAAGTGTTTTAACTTCTTTCCTACATACTGACCCTCTTCTCTCTCCAACATTTTTTTTCCTGTTCTTTTTGTTTATCTATGGAATGTTTCTTTTGTAAAATGATCTAAATTCTAGGGCAAGGCTTGTGGACCTTTTAATGATATTAATTTTGATAGTAATAGTAATTGTACAAGATACCATAGAGTCAACCCCCACTGTATTTAATGCAGACAAGCCAGGCATTAGTCTTGTTTGTCTTACATTGGTGGTTAAGAGGCTGTGCAAAATTTGAAAATTATCAGCATCTTTTGGAACCTCAGCTAACTGACCTTTAAAATGACAGGGTTTAACATGCTATTTTCAGCTCAGCTTTTAATGATTCAATAAGTCTAAATTCACAAACTCATGTCCTGTGTACTTGGGCCTTTCAGCTTTAACTTATAAAATCTAGGATAAGTTTTGCTAGGGGAAGCAAAAAGGCTGACATTCTAGAATTAGGGCCTGCCTATAAAGAGGCAGACAGGGAGGACAAGATCTCTAGCCAACAAGAATTCATGGTGCAGAAACAATCGAGAATCGAGAAACAATCGATTCCCTTATGAGCTGTGCTAGATGGCCACACTCATACATTCATGAGATCAACTGCTTAACAGTATCAGAGTTTATCCCACTTTGAAGAGAAATATCAGCAAAAAGCCCTCATACTACCTCCCCCAGGGAGCATCAAATCCTCTGTGCCAGCTGCAGTGTGGTTCGGTCATGGATTGTTTAAGTATCTCATACTTTGGTGCTGTGGCCAAGGCGCAGAAAACTGTACAGGACTGGTGATGGCCTTTCTTCTCAGCCTTTTTAAAGGTTGAAGCTCTTAAGGAAATTTGGAAGGCCTTAAGTCCTTTTAGTTTTTTCTCTACACGCTTTGAGGATCTTAGTCTTGATTAAACTTTCATTAGTGTCCCTATGTACTCCTTTCTTTTTACCTGTTCATTCTCATTTCTCTTTTCTAAATTGAGAAATAGAAAAGAAACTTAAACATGGTTCCTGGAGTTGACACTGAGGAATAGTAATAAAAATACACCTCAGTCTAGATTAATTGGTTTATAAAGTATATAATTCTTGCTGAGTCATTTTAGAAAGGGGACCCTAATTAGGTTTCATTAAATAGAAAGTGCCATCAACCCCTAGAATGCTTGGCTTTGAATCCTAGTTCCTTTACTTAGTATCTGTGCTACCTTGCCTGTTACTTTTTTGTGCCTAAGTTTATTAGTTTTAAAAGTAAGATTTACAATAATATCTGCTTCATAAGATTGTTATGAAGATATAAAGTGCTTTTGACAAAGCCTGGAATATAATGCTCAATAGATATTAATTGTTATATCATTATTTAAAATTGCAATTTTAAACTGTGTATACCTGTAGGGGAAATGGACCATAGCATCCTCTGCCTTGGGCACTATGTGGTTTGAGATTTTCAAAGAAATAATAGGATCAAGTCCTTTGGGCTCCTGGCTTCAGATCTCCTTTCCCGAGTTATCAAGTCCAGTGGATTGTCTGTGAGGATGGCACCTCAAGAGGGCCTCACTCATTCTGCGGGACCACACGTCATCTCGAGCTTCAGGGATGAATAGCTTCTTGGTGGCCCCACACACCTTTCAGCTAAATATTCTATGTAATAGCTAATTACTCACCTTGTTTTGAGATTAATATCAACATGTGTTATATCCTCATTTAATTTACTCACCATCAGAGGATAATCCTCATCTTAAGGATACTTATTATTGATAGTATTATTATTGATATTGATATATTATTGATAGTATTATTATTATAATTTGTGGTATAACTCCTAATCTGATGTTCCTTCCACCTCCCCTTACTCTCTAAAACACACCATGCTGCCTGTAATTATTAATATATCAGCAGATCCTCTATATCTTTAATTTCTCCAAACTTTCTCTTCACTGTCATTTAAAATACTGTGTCTCAGATGTTGGTCAAATGATACAAAATTTTGTTTAGGAGGAATAAGTTTAAGAGTTCCATTATACAATGTGGTGATTATAGTTAAAAATGTGTTTTATACTTGACAATTGCTAGGAGAGTAGATTTTAAATCTTCTCATCACACAAAAAAGTATGTGAAGCAATGGATATGTTAATTAGCTTGATTTAGTCGTTCCACAATGTATACATATATCAACACATTATGTTGTATAGTAAATACATGTAATTTTTGTATGTTAAAATATAACAGATAAAAATTTAGAAAAGATACTATGTCTCTTACAGCCCTCTGAGTGATGGTTATTTTAAAATTCCATACCCATATGCCACAGGGCCTGGATGTAGGTAAATGTCATCTTGGCTCCCCCTTGCTGTTTCCAAACAATTTCTCCACCTTCAGAAGCTCCTGTTGTCTCTGAAGCATGTAAGAGAGTGTCCTCTGCACCCCCTGTTGTTGCTGTCATACATCAGTGTGCTGGCTATCCCCTACCATTTCATTCTCTCCAGAAGCCGGGGTTATCTTTTTAAGGCATAGATATGACTTTATCCTTTCCCTGATTAAGATGTTCCAATGGCTTACTGGATGCTCAGAACTGTATTCTGTATTTTATTCTAAAAGGTCTTTTATGATCTGGCCTCTCCCTACTTCTCAAACTCCTCCACCATCATTCACTACTTGCCTTCTTGCAATCATTCATACGTACCACTCTCCTTCCTGACTCAGGAACTTGGTGTTCTTTTGGCCTGGGATAGTCTTCACTAAGGTCCTCATGCACTACCACTTTTTCCACCATTCCCATGTCAGTTCAAATATCTCTTCAGAGACAATTCTTCTAATCTCCTTGCTAAAGATTGCTGCTCCTTGCTCTTGCTCTATAACATTATTTTAATTTAGTCTGTCTATAGAATTTGATATGATCTGAGATTATTTTATTTGCTTGTTTACATATTTACTTTGCCTTACCTCACTAGAACTTATGCTCTCTATGAAATAGTTATAGTTATCTTAGCCATAGCAGTTGAAACCCACTGAATTATTTCTGATTTGGAGGGCTTTTATGGCAAGCCAGTCTCATATACGTCCCCTGAAAAATTTCACAGGAGAAATTGAAGATCTGAGTTTATTATTTAGCACATTTCAACCTAGAGCTATTTTACTTTGTCCCTATAGTACATTATCCTTTCTATGACTTAATTAGATGAAAATAAATCAAAACTAAAAAAAACTTGTTTTAATTATAAAAATAATAAAATATTGATCTTGATAGTTTTCTAAGAGCGCCCTTTAAGTGTCATATATATATAATTAAACAGGCTTATTCATAGGATAAGTACAGTATTGAACTAGCACATTAATTTTGAAATTAGATTAATTTATATTTTAAGAGGTTCAAATTACATTTTAAGCATTGAAATAATGTTTTTATATGTGCACAATTTCCTAAATTTCTTGAAACAAATCTTATACTTCAAAAGATACTTTGAATTGGAAGATTAACTATATTTAATGGTCTTCTGGGGGTAGCTGGGCAAGCACAGGACTTGGAGTCAGAAGATCAGTATTTAGAATCTCAGTTTTACCCTTTTACTAGGTATACATCCTTGGCCAAGTTAAGTAATGTCTTTGGACTTCAGTTTTCTCATCTGTAAGATCTGTAAATATGACCTTTAATTGCAGCTTTCTCCCTGTCCCCACCCCCATTTCCTACTCTCTTCACAACCCTTTCTTCTTCCCTCTAATTTCTAAGTTAAAGAAGCTAAAATTGTTTTGCTGAAACCATCATTGGTAGCTAAAACCATTTTAATAGTCTCTTTATTCCTTTCTTAATCTTTGTATTTCTCATTTTCCAAAGCTCTCATTAATTTCAGGTAAAATGCTTAATGATGGGTAAGGAAGAAAGGGTGAGGAATGAGAGCTCAGCAGGATTATTAAATGTTCCTCATTTCTGTGACACACCAAAGAGAATTAGAATTCGGAAATAGAAGGGACCTTACCCTTTATTTCTCTTAAAAATATATATTCACAAAAAAGTTTATGTGGTTGGCTCAAAAAATCACACATTTCTTTCCTTTTTGGGGGAAGTAGGGTGAGTATCAGAACAAGAGCCCCGGGAACCATAAACCCGGAGTGCCGGTTGCAGGTTAGGGAGGTCAGGGACTGGGCACCTTTTCCATTGTTGCAAGCCTGACTTGGGGACACCTTCAGGGAAGGCTGCCCTTTCCTCTCAGCCTTGCAAAGCATTGGAATTCTCAGGAGACAGGTAATGCTATTTGTTTCTCATTCTATATTATTTCTATTCTTATCTCATTTTTCTTACTAACCCTTTGTTATCTTCCTTCTTTATTTATTCTGTTTTGCTAGCACTTCAGGTTTGGAAATTGCTCTTTTTCTTGCTGACATGTCATTACAATAAGCCACTAGGAACTTTCATTTTCCTTCTATATTTTTGACTGATTATTGATTTGTCTGGTTATGAAGAACCAGAAAATGAAAACATGTGAAGCTCAAGCTTCTGCTATACTTCAGTGGAGGAAGTCTGGGCAGTTTAGGAAAATGTACTCTTGATTAAATGGGGCTAAATATCAGGAGAATTGAAGAAAAGTAAAGGAACTTACCAATAGTTGAACGAGACAGTGCTAAAAGAAAAAAAATCAAAACAAGAATGAGTTCTGCAGCTCTCATGGAAAACTTAGATTTCATAGACACTATACTGCAAAAACATTGTGGGAAAGAAGGTAGAAATTAGTTAGATCCCATTCTCTATTATCAGTTGCAATGCAGTTGGTGAGCAGCTGGATAGCCATTTGTGGATTGTCTTTCGGGCATAACTACAGACTTTTATATATTCCTAGGTAATACTTTGTGGTAGGGTAGGACTGCAAGATCTATGCAATCTTTCTTTTAATTTCTTTGAATAAGAGAATACAAATATTTTGGGAAATTGCCAGTTTCTCAGTCCATGGAAATTTTTCTGTCTCTACTGTCCTCTTTCAGCACTGATTTGCTGCTTTTGTTCTTCCCTTCTCTGCCTTTCTTCTTCTTCCCCCTCTCTCTCCTCAATTTTCTTTCTCTTTTCTCTCTTTGTTTGAAAGGTTCTTTGTTATGCCAATCTATTACTACCTAACTGCTTCAATAAGGGATTTCCACTTTCCAAAAACCTCTGTGTCCTATGGGAATGCTGAATAGCAAGAGATCACATCAGAAAGTTCTTAAACACTAGAAGATAAAGAATAAAAGCAGGGAAAGGGGGCTTGCTGTCAAAATAAATATGTCATCCTCTCATTTAATCACTTGGAAAAGTTGGACACAATATTTTTAAAAGCTTTAAAATGTATAGCTGAGATTGATAGCTAGAAGGAGAAGTCTCCAAGAGCAATATATCAGAGGAAACCCATAATTTTGATAGTGAATGAGAAGTTTCACCACTTAAGCCAGTATCTTATTGGAGGCTGAGTCTTAAATAATCATCATCATAAATCAAAGCCACAGGCCTCAGGCATTGTAAGAACTTGAGACTGTCGTCCTGTATGAATCCAGGGCTCACAAAAGCATTATCTGTGAAAGGCAACCCTTAATCCCTGTTGGTTGGAGTATGCCAGGAAATAACCCATTTACAACAGGCCATTGTTGGAAATTGAGTCTTCAGCAATGGGAGAACATTCAATGAAGGCTGAAAATTCAGGTATAAAGTCCATATTTGAACACTTCATGTAGTGAAGAAACTATGAGTACAGAAACTATTATAAAAACTGACCCATGAAGTAGCCTATGGAGCAGGCCGGGCACGGTGGCTCATGCCTGAAATCCTAGCACTCCGGGAGGCCAAGGCAGGGGGATCACTCGAGGTCAGGAGTCTGAGACCAGCCTGAGCAAGAGCAAGACCCCATCTCTACTAAAAATAGAAATAAATTAGCCAAACAACTAAAAATATATAGAAAAAATTAGCCAAGTATGGTGGTGCATGCCTGTAGTCCCAGCTACTTGGGAGGCTGAGGCAGAATGATTGCTTGAGCCCAGGAGTTTGAGGTTGCTGTGAGCCAGGCTGACACCATGGCACTCTAGCCCGGGCAACACAATGAGACACTGTCTCAAAAAAAAAAAAAAAAAAAAAAAAAAAAAGAAAAGAAAAGAAAAGAATTATTACACAACATAGGGTTTATGATGAACTCAAACAAATGATAATCAGTGAGCTCATAGACAAAAGGTAAAAAGCTTTTGATGAAACCTCAGTAGGCAGATGGCCACAGCAAATGGGACAATACAAACTAGAAGAGCAATTCAAAAGGAATTTTCAAATAAGTGTGTCTCAAATGTTGAAAGATACAAAGGAAGGAGTAGAATTCACGAAATAAGAATAACTTATGAAGCAGGAACAAGTACATTTGATAAAGAAAAAATAAAAATAACAGATATGAAAAATATAGTCATTTCATTATAAAAATCATTAAGTGGATAAACAAACAGAATAGAGTCCACTGAAGAAAAAAATAGTGAATTGGAAAATAAATGTGAAGGAAATGATTCAGGACCCACCACAGAGAAATAAGGAGATGGTATAGCAGAGACTACCTTGCTGTTCACCAAACTAATTTCCTTCTTCTTTTAGGCATTAATGGCCCTTGTGAAGATTTCTATGTTATAATCCCTGGAACCTGTGAATATGTTAGTTTACCTGGCAGAAGGGAAGTAGGTTGAACAGTAAATTAAAGTGCTAATTAGTTGATTTTAAAATAGGGTGATTATCTTGGTTTGTATGGGTGGGACCAATGTAATCCGAGGGTATTTGATAGTGAAAGAGGAAAGGAACAGGGAGTCAGAGAAAGCGATATGACAACGGAAGAAGGTCAGAGTGATGTGATGTGAGGGCTTGATTCATTTTTATTTTGAAGGTTGAGGAAGAGGGCCATCAGCCAAGGAATGTGGGCAGCCCCTAGAAGCTGAGAAAACAGGCAAACAGATTTGCTCCCAGAACCCACAGAAGGAACAGGTTCTGCTAATAGCCTGATCCTTGTCTGGTGAGACACGTATGGCAGGTTTCTAGCCTGCGGAATTGTTAGATGATAACTTTATGTTACTTTAAGCCGTTAAGTTTGTGGTAATTTATTATGGCAGCTATAGAAAACTAATACTATATGGCTAGACTGTTTCTCCAAGATTCCCTTGCAGTTAGGGGTGGCCACATGATTGAGTTATAGCCAGTCTAATGTTGTTGGAAGTCACATATTGATATAAGACATCATCTATGCTTGCTTGTAAAGCTTCCCACTCGTGATCTCCAAATGTTTTCTCTCCATGCTCACTTTAGGCAAACAAATATGATGAACTCAGAAGGTATTATTGAATAAAGATAAATTTGAGTGCTTAAGAAATTACTAAAAGAATGATTAAGCATTCCTATTTTGGACTTCTCATGAGTAAGAAATGAAATTCTATTATGTAAAACCACTGCAAATTTAGGATTTATCTATTACAGGATCTGGGGTTAACTTAATGCAGATAAGAAATACAACATCTGAAAGATGGCATAACACATTTATTTACATACATAGTAATTTTAGAAGGAAAGACTATAGTGATATATATATAGAGGCACTATTCATAGCAATTACAGTAAGAATTTTCTACAATTAAATAAAGATATGAGAATTCAAGATGGAAATAAAAAAATTCTATGAACAAAATGACAATGGAGAGACAAGTTATCAAATCCTCTGGCACACAGCTAAAGCAGTACTGAGAGGAAAGTTTATTTCTATAAATGCTTATAACCAAAAGTCAAAAAGATCACAAATAGACAATCTAATGAAATGACTCAAAGAGCTGGAAAAAGAAGAACAGAAAAACCACAAATCCAGCAGAAGAAGTGAAATAAACAAGATCAAATCAGAACTAAACGAAATTGACAACAGGGAAACTATACAGGAGATTAATAAACAAAAGTTGGTTCTTTGAAAAAATAAACAAAATTGACACTCATTGGCTAGGCTAATGAAAGCAGAAAGAGAAATCTCTAATAAGCTCCATCAGAAACAAAAAGGAGATACACACTGATCCCAAGGAGATACAAGATATTATTTATGAATACTACAAAAACTTTTATGCACACAAACTGGAAAATGTGGAGGAAATGGACAAATTTCTAGAAGCACACAGCCTCCCTAGACTCAACCAGGAAGAAATAGAATTCCTGAACAGACCAATCTCAGAGACTGAAATAGAAACAGCAATTAAAATCTCCCTAAAAAGTCCCAGTACAGATGGTTTCAAACCCAAATTTTACCACACCTACAAAGAAGAACTGGTGCCTATCTTGCAGAATTTTCAACTCAAGAAGAGTGGAAACCTCCCGACACCTTTATGAAGCGAATATTACTCTGATACCAAGAAACCAGGAAAGGATGCAACAAAAGAAAACTACAGGTCAATATCCCTAATGAATATAGATGCAAAAATTTTCAACAAAATCCTAGCTAACCTAATCCAGGCGCTTATCAAAAAATAATCCATCATGACCAAGTGGGCTTCATCCGAGGGATGCAGGATGGTTCAGCATACAAAATCTATAAATGCAATTCACCACATACCAGAAGCAAAACAAAGACCACATGATTCTTTCAATAGATGCAGAAAAGCTTTTTGACAAATTCAACACCGTTTCATGATACGAACACTTAATAAATAGGCATAAAAGGACATACCTAAAAATGATAGAAGCAATATATGACAGACCCATAGCCACATCATACTGAATGGGGAAAAATTGAAAGCATTCCACTTAGAACTGGACCAGACAAGCTGCTCACTATCTCCACCTTCTGTTCAACATAGTGCTGGAAGTCCTGGCTACAGCAATCAGACAGGAAGTGGAATTAAAGATATCCAAATAGGGCAGAGAGATCAAACTTTCACTGTTTGCTGATGATAGATTTGTATCTAGAACCCAAAGATTCAACCAAGAAATTCCTGGAACTGATCAATGAATTTAGTAAAGTCTCAGGATACAAAATCAATACACAGAAATCAGAGGCATTCATATACGCAACAGCAATCTAATTGAGAACCAAATCAAAGGCTCAATTCCTTCACAATAGCACAAAGAAATTAAAGTACCTAGGAATATACTTAAGAAGGAGGTAAAGACTCTACAGGGAGAACTATGAAACATTGAGGAAGGAAATAGCAGAGGATGTAAACAGATGGAAATCCATACCATGTTTGTGGGTCGGTAGACTCAACATCATTAAAATGTGTATACTACCCAAACTGATCTACAGATTCAATGCAATATCTATTAAAATCCCATCATCATTCTTCACAGATATAGAAAAAATAATTTTACGCTTCGTTTTGAACCAATGAAGACCCCGAATATCAAAAGCAATTCTAGGCAACATAAACAAAATGGGAGGCATTAATATGCCAGATATCAAACTATACTACAAGGCTGTAGTAATTAACTCAATATGGTATTGGCACAAAAATAGGAATATTGACCAATGGAATAGATCTGAGAATCCGGATATAAAACCATTCTCATATAGCCATCTAATCTTTGACAAAGCAGACAAAAACATACCCCAGGGGAAAGAATCCCTTTTCAATAAACGGTGCTGGGAAAACTGGACAGCCACTTGCTGAAGGCTGAAGCAGGACCCACACCTTTCACCTCTCACAAAAATCAACTCACACTGGATACAGACTTAAACTTAAGGTATGAAACTATTAGAATTCTAGAGGAAAATGTTGGAAACACTCTCCTAGACATTGGCCTAGGCAAAGAATTTATGAGGAAGCCCCCAAAGGCAATCACAGCAGCAACATAAATAAATAAATGGGACATGATCAAACTAAAAAGCTTCTGCACAGCCAAAGAAACAGTCATGAAATAAACAGACAACCTACAGAATGGCAGAAAATTTTTGCATCTTACACATCTGATAAGGGGCTGATAACTAGAATATGCTTAGAACTCACGAAAATCAGCAAGAAAAAAAATCAAACAACCCTATCAAAAAGTGGGCAAAGGACAGAAAATTTTCTAAAGAAGACAGAAGAATGGCCAACAAACATATGAAAAAATTTTCAACATCTCTAATCATCAGGGAAATGCACATCAAAACCACAATGAGATATCACCTAACTCCAGTGAGAATGGCCTTAATAAAAAGTCCCCAAACAACAAATGCTGGTGTGGATGTGGAGAGAGAGGAACACTCTTACACTGCTGGTGCGACTGCAAACTAGTTCAACCTCTTTAGAAAGCAATATGGAAATACCTTAAAGCAATACAAGTGGATCTACCATTTGATCCAGCAATTCCATTACTGGGCATCTACCCAAAAGATCCAATGACACTCTACAAAAAAGACACCTGCACTCAAATGTTTATAGCAGCACAATTCATAATTGCAAAGCTGTGGAAACCGCCCAAGTGCCCATCAATCCAAGAGTGGATTAATAAAATGTGGTATATGTATACCATGTAGTACTATTCAGCCCTAAGAAACAATGGTGAGATAGCACATCTTGTATTTTCTTGGGATACTACTAAGTGAAGTTTCCCAAGAATGGAAAAACAAGCACCACATATACTCACCAGCAAACTGGTATTAACATAGCAGCATCTAAGTCGACACATAGGAATTACATTTATAGGGTATTGGGCAGGTGGGAGGGGGGAGGGGGGGGTGTATACATACATAATGAGTGAGATGTGCACCACCTGGGGGTTGGTCACGCTGGAAACTCAGACTTGTGGGGGGAGGGGGGAATGGGCATTATTTGAAACCTTAAAATCTGTACCCCTGTAATATGCTGAAAAAAAAAACTAGTAGTAGATTCTTATAAACAATAATAAATGGGGATGAAAATGGAATAAATCTTCAAAGTGCTGAGGGAAAATAATTGTCAATTCTATGCTCATCTAAATTCTCATTTAAGGCTGAGTGTGAAGTAAAGCTATTTTCAGCCATATAAAGGTTTAGAAAAATTGTCACACATATAAAAGCTTTAAAGAACTACCAAATGATTGTACTGGGAAACAAATAAAATAGGAAAGGTGCAGGATGTAGCAAATAATGGTAAGCCAAAACAATGCTGAAACATTTTTTTAAGTCTAAGTAATTATTAATTGTAAAAAGTAAATAATTATTTTGTTTTTAAAAAGAATGCCATAAAACAACATGAAGGATATGGAAAGAATATTTTGAAGGGAAGATGGTCAAATAAAGGTTACTATATTGTCTGGGAAGAAGATACTGATTGTCTTTAGTTTTGTTTGTTTGTTTGTTTTTAGAAAAATTAAACAGTACGTATGTTACAAATATAAGGATGAATAAAATAAAATCCACCAAAACAGTAAAGCAAAACAAAAGAAACATGGAAATCTAAAAATCTGGCAGAAAGCAGGAAAGAAAATAAAAAATAAAAAAACCAAAACATAGTATTGTAAATTGAAATTGGTAGAATGTAGATAAAATATATCAGCAATTCACAATATAAAATTAATTAAATTTATCTATTAAGAAATAAAACATTTTACATTGTTAATATGAACAAAGTCAAGCAATATGCTGTTTAAAAAAGACACAATTAAGGGAAAAGCAAACTCTTAAGGTTCACAATGAAGGGATGGAAACACATATAATAGGTAAATACTAATTGAAATAAAGGTTTTGGAACAATGTTAATATCAGACAGTGTAGAATTTAAGCCCCCGAAACAGTCATGAGGATATGGATGGACATGTGTCATTATATAAAGCAAAATTTAAAAAAGAGAACAATTTTAAAATTGTATACATCTAACAATAATCAAAATATGCAAAGGAAAAATAGTCTGTTTTAAAAAGAAAAACGCATTTATAAGTCTTTGGGAAGAGGGGAGTGGAATAGATCTAGGGATGGGGACAAAAGGGATTTCTACAGTATCTGCAATGAGAAATATGACAAAATATTATCAATTGTCACTCCTGGTATATGGGTATACAAGTGTTAATTATTTTTGTACTTTATTTTTAAAACTTCTTTAAAAGAAAGAAAAAAGCAAATGTAGAAACAACAGGGTTTATAAACCAGACAACAGTAGAATTGAAAGAAAACCACAAACCACTTACCTAAGGAGTTGGTTGATGGTGCTAAAACACACACGCACACAAAAACATGAGGGGAATCATTAGAATTTGGGTCCCTAATCTTTCAGCTTCAACCATCGTCACCCCCTTCTCAGGAGTTGAAGCCCAGGCCCAGGGAGGCATCACAGAGCTGGTGATGGGTGCTGAAGGCCACTGTCACCAGCTATCACATAGCCTGTCACTCTCTTTCAAACCCTCTTTCAAGGGTTTAATTTTTAGTAGACAGATGCTATTCCTATTGTCCTTGTTCCTCCTTCCCTTCTTTCCTCTCTCCCCTTTATCTGTATTATTTCCCCTTTCTGCCACTCATCATTTCCTCTATTTTTTTTTCTTTTCTCCCAGCCACTTTGGAAACTCATCTGTTACCAATATATGATTCTCAACCAGCACTAGGAGACTTTATCTATTGCTTAGTATTCATATGAACTGATAAGATTTCTCTTTCCTCCAAAGCATTTACAATCTAGGGACATGTTACTAACGGGAAGCTAAATTTTTTTTTTTTAGAAACAAGAGAATACTTACTATAATCTCTTCCGGATCCCTCTGGAAATACAGAAAAAACAAAGAAAAATAAGTCTGGATTTTCTATTTCTTTATCCTCCTGCCCCCAGATTTTCTGTTTCTGTAGTTTTGGTATCACTATAGAAAATCACCGAGTCAACATCCTCAAATAGCTAAGCAGGCAAAAAACTGGAGGCAAAATCTCTTCATGGCTTAATTTATGAGTTAAATGACATAAAAAAAAAACAAGCTAAAGTTAACTGAGGTAAATATGTGTAGTAAGAAGAAATAATAAACTATGTATGGAAACATTCAAACAGAAGAATATATTAATTATAAATAAGTTGAGGCCAAACAAGAGAGGAAATGATAAAATATTTACTTAGCTGATAGAGATTTCAAAATCAATGAAAATATGGCAAATTATAATGAATACATATGCATATATTTATTGTGATTGGACGTGCATTCTGTGATCTAATACTTGTTTCTTAGTGATGTCATGGAAATGGATTTTATAAAAGATCTGGGGAGAGACCAAGCAAATTTATCACTATTGTTTTCATAAAAGTGCAGAAGTACAAAGTTAAATAATAGCATTGATACTCTGCAGTCAATCTCAATTATGTTGCATGGCAGTATCATTTGATATTTCACTAAAGTGTAGTTAAAGGTCTACCCAGAAATATAAAGACAGCATGAATTTTTTTCCTCAGCGTCTTTTCTGAAAACAAGTGATTTCCTTCCATGTTTGGTTGTAATTGTGATGGGAATTAAGTCCAAAACACATAAAACACTCTCTGTTTTATAATAATGTTACTTATTTCCTATGGTTCTATGGGGATTTTATAAATAAAAAGTACCACTGAGATGCTGAGCACTTTCATCTGCTTCACTTGAAATTTGTCCTAAAAACTTTCATGTACTACACTTACATTTGCTATAAAAATTAATATTAAGAATAAATTTAGTTATTTCAAAATTTTTGAATTATCATGGCAACTTTAATATCGACTTTAGAATGATAGGCTTAAATTCAACTAAGTGTTGAGTACTAAAGTTCATGTATCTAAACCAACATAATGACCTTACCTAATATTTTACTGCCAGAAGATTTCTATTTTCTCACATTGACTGGCAAATTTATATTTCTATGTCCAGAAATGATAGAGGGAAGAGATAGAGCTTGGGAACTTAGAAACTTAGGATGACTCAGATATATAGGACCACCTTAGAGAGGACTTGAAAGTAAGAGAAATAAATGATCATTTGCCTTTATGAATTTTAAGGTATGGCCTACTCAAACAATAATAAAATGTTTACTGATTCAAGTTTTTCCCTAAAAATGCAAGAGGATCTCAGAATAGAAGGACACTAAGATTGTAGGCTATACACTAAAGACTCATAACTAGGACATTAAAAGTTAAGATATTACTAATTTGTATAAGAATAAACTCCCTAACTACCTGAAATTTGGAGCCAGACAACTCTAAGTTCATATCCAGGTTGAGTCACTTGCAAGCTTTGTGGCCTTGGGTACGTCATTAACATTTTTCAAGCAAAAGTTTCTCTTCTGTAATTTATGGATAACAATGTACAGTAAACTACTTTATTCCTTTAAGAACTACTTAATAAGGATCTCCCTAACTGTGGTGAGGAGAATAGAATATAAGGGGGCAAGAGGGATGGTAGCAAGGAAACCAGTTAGGAGGCGAGATGTGGTTCTTGGGCTAAGATTGTCACGGTGGTGAAAACTGGTCTGGTTTGGAATATAATCTGAAAGTATGAATGATAGGATTTGATGGTGGCTTAGACAAAGATGATGACAGAAAGGAGATAAAGATGACTTCAAGTTAGAAGAATGTCTGAGCAGTTAGGTGAATACCAGTGCCAGTACCTATGTGTACAAAGGATTAAGACTTGGGTTTTAGACCTGTAGAGAGTGAGATGCCTTTCATATATATTTAGGACCACTGTGTTATGATTGCACAGGCTGTTCGCTGCAAAAGTGTTACAGGAACTGAAATCTCCAACAGTGTCCTTGTGGGACTGCATCCACCCGGAGAAGGAGCACCTTTCCCTAATACGCAGCAAAGCAACCTGTGGGATAGTGGAGGTCTTGGACAGCCAGGGAAGGATTTTTGGGTGTTTCATTTTTGTGTGGCTGACAGGGTTGTGTGTAGATATAAAATAAAATAAAATAAAATGAATAATATCCACTAGCGTGACTAGCACATAATAGACTAGCACATAACGTGCTAAGCACGTTAATTTTTTCATTACTATTGTGTGTAGTTTTATTTTGCTTTTCTATGTACCCTTAAATTCCTAACATTGAGGTAGGTTCTTGCACTGGTGAACCCTTTGCACTTGCTCGCTTTTTTCTCATTATCCACTCGACATTATCCACACTTGACATCTGAGTGCAAAGGGTTAAATGTGGTGCTCTGATTAACTGTTACTAAGGAGGACTGTTTCCCATGAAACAGGAGATGTAAATGACAATAGTAGACAATAGCAGCAATTCTTTGTGCCCTTGGAATTTGATTGTACAAGTAGTACCTTAGCATGATGACTTTTAAGAGACTTATTCCTTGATTTCTTAACATTTATATTAAGAAGGGCATATTGTGTAGTTAACATTTGCGATATTTGGCATGCTGAGTTTCTCTTAAATACTCATTAGTTTTTTTTCAATTTTACCTTTATGGAGGTAAAATTGATATAAAATGTACATATATACAAGATGTGCAATATGATGTTCTGATATACATATATATTGTGAAGTGATCACCCACTCAAGTTAATTAACATATCCACCATCTCAGATAGTTACCTTTATTTTTCTTTTTGTGATGAGAATACCCTCTTAGTAAATTTCAGGTATACAATACATTATAGTCACCATACTGTACATTGGGTCTCCAGAAATTATTCATTTTATAACTGCAAGTTTGTACTCTTTAGCCAATAGCTTCCCATTTCCCTTACCCTCTCTGGTAATCACACCTCTACTCTGTTTTTTCTGTACTTGACTTTTTTAGGTTCCAAATATACATGACATCACCCAGTATTTGTGTGATCCTTTCTGTTCCTGTTAATTTCGCTTAGTATAAGGTCTTCCAGGTTCATCCATATTGACACAAATGGCAGAATTTCTTTCCTTTCCTAAGGATGAATAATATTCCATTGTGTGTGTGTGTGTACATATGTGTGTGTGTGTATATACACCACATTTTTAAAAATCCATTATCCAATAATGGACATTTAGGTTGTTTCCATATGTTAGCTATTGTGAAAAATACTGCAATGAACATAGTAATGCCAATATTTCTTTAATATAATGATTTTAATTTACTTTGAATATATATCCAGAAGTGGCATTGCTGAATCATATGGTAGTAGTTCTATTTTTAGTTTATTGGAGGAACCACAGTACTGATTTCCGTGATGGCTGTACCAATTTACATTTCCAACAACAGCGCACAAAGGTTCCCTTTTCTCCATATCCTTGCCAACACTTGTTACCTTTTGGCTTTTTGAATGCATCCTAACTGATGTGAAGTGGTATCTCATTGTGGTTTAGATTTTCATTTCCCTAATGATTAGTGATGTTGGGTACCTTTTTATTTACTAGTTGGCCATTCATGTATCTTCTTTGGGAAAATATCTATTTAGATCCTTAACCTATTTTTCAATCAGGTTATTTTCCTGCTATTGAGTTGTATGAGCTCCTTGTATATTTTGTGTATTGCTACAGTTTGAATCTCCCCTCCAAAACTCATGTCGAAACGTATTCCCAAATGTGACGATATTGAGAGTTGGGGCCTTTAAAAGGCGATTGTATAATAAGGGTTCTGCCCATATGAATGAATTAATCCATAATAGATTAATGGGTTAATACATTAATGGATTATTATGGGAGGGGAACTAGCGGCTGATGAGGAAGGGAGACCTGATCATAGCACGTTGGCATGCTTAGCCCCTCGTGATGTGATGCCTTGCACGACTTTGGGAACCTGCTCAGAGTCCCCACCAGCCAGGGGCTCTCACCAGATGTGCTACCTCAAATTTGGGCTTCTCATCTTCTGTCACTGTAAGAAATAAATTTCTTTCTATAAATTACCCAGTTTCAGGTATTCTGTTATAAGCAACAGAAAATAGACTCAAACAAATATTAATCACTTATTAGATATATGGTTTGCAAATATTTTCTCCCATTCTGTGGGTTGGATTTTTATTTTGTTGATTGTTTCTTGTGCTGTGCAGAAACTTTTTTGTTTGATGAGGTCCCACTTATTCATTTTTGCTCTAATTGCTGTGTCTTTGGTGTCTTACACAAAAAGTCATTGCAAAGCCCAACATCATGGAGCTTTCCCTGTTTTCTTATAAGAGATTTACAGTTACAGTCTTATATTTAAGTCTTTAATTCATCTTGAGTTTATTTTTGTGTATGGTGTTTAAGGACTAATTTCTTTTTTATTTTTGTACATGGATATCCAGTTTCCCCAATGCCATTTATTGGAGATACTATTCTTTCCCTATGTGTATTCTTGTTACTTTTGTTAAACATTAGTTGATTGTATATATGTGGATTTATTTCTGGAATTTACATTTTGTTCCTTTGGTACTGTTTTGATTACTATGAATATTTTGAAGTGAGGTAGTGTGATGTCTCCAGCTTTGTTCTTCTTGCTCAAGATTGTCTTGGCTATTTGAAGTCTTTTGTGGTTTCATATGAATTTATGGATTTGTTTTTTTACTTCAGTGAAAAACGCCATCAGAATTTTGATAGAGATTTCATTGAAACTTTAGATCACTTTGTTTAGTATGGATATTTTCAGAATGATAATTCTTCCAATCATTGAACACAGGATGTCTTTCTTTCTATTTGTTTGTGTCTTCTTCAATTTCATCCATCAACGTTTTATTGTTTTCAGTGAGTATTGTTTTCAGGTGCTCATATAGGAGGTGAAATACAGTGAGCATATAGAAGGTGAAAAATTTTCACCTACTTGATTAAATTTATTCGTAAGTATTTT